TGGGAATACAGATTAACTTTCAGTGAACACATTTATTATTTTGTCGGTTGCACTCAACACAATCATCCAGCTTTTAACCTGTAGATCGTATTTAGGAATTGACAAGAACTGACATCACGTATCAAATATTGTAGTCATCTACCAGCTTCTGGTACAAACAATTCAAAGAGGTTTTTAGGTTTTTTTTATTTACCAAAAATGACTTAAGTATAATCTTTCTTACAGGAGAACGATATCGAAATGAAAGCAACAGATTCATGTATAAGTAAACATGTTATAAGTATTTTTTCATTCAAATTAAACGACAACCGTGAAACGAAAGACAGATTTGTTCCAGAAGTGTATAAATTAATATTATTTAGTAATATCTGCCAAGGTCCCTAGTTTCAATAAAGCATAGATGATAGCTGCTCAGAATATCTGGGTGAGCTCTGATCAATTTAGCTCAAAACCCCCTTATGTCTGTACGTTATAGACTGACCTTGACGTGAATTACCTTCAAAATATGGAATTAACACCCCATTCTCCCGAAACCAGGGGGAGTGATTTAGTCTACCAGACACATGTCATAAACAGATAGAATCTGATAGATATTTTGACAATGGTAAGAATTTTACCAAAATATCACCTTTTTTTAAATATATAAACATAAAATTAAATAAAACCAAGTACGAACAAGCCAAACCATAAGACAGAATTCGAAGTCCTAAAAAACGTTATAGGCAAAATAGTGTATTCAAGCAAAATAGTGTAAACAGCGAATGGACTGCTCCTCGTGTACAAATTACACGGCAAACAGTGGTAACAGGTGTCCGGAAGAGTAAGCTTACCCTGCCTGGCGCCACACCCGCCATAGCTGAACCAAACTATTAGGCGAAATCTCGGTAAAATAGCGTGATTGGCCAATGGACTATCAATGACAGCCTACACCGGTTGTGTTCCCAAAACAAACGGTATAGGCAAAATAGTGTAATCAGGCAAAATAGTGTAATCAGCAAATGGACTGCTCACCGTATACACAATACACGACAAACAGTGGTAACAGGTGTCCGGAAGAGTAAGCTTACCCTGCCTGGCGCCACACCCGCCATAGCTGCATCCAAACTATTAGGCGAAATGTCGGTAAAATAGCGTGATTGGCCAATGAACTATCGGTATGCAAAATGCACGCGATGAACTGTGTTAACGATGTAGTAGATATTATCAGGGAGATAGTAATAGTATACGTGTCAATTAAATATATCTAGAATAATAGCCGAGAGAGACACGTTATATTTACCAATCAAATCAATATGACGGCCATAAAACTTTTTAAAGGTTTTAATAAGTTTAGTGCGCAAGTATCCTTGTAGTTGAAGCTTAGATGACAAATGCCTCGATCTACTTAAAAAATCAGAATAAAAGGAACAAGCTCTCGCGTAACGAATTAGCTGAGACACAAACACTCCATAAGCTGGTTTTATTGGAATGTTACTACTAATAAATGGAAAGTTAACAATCGGAAAGTCAAAGTCATCACGTTTATCGTACAATTTAACACTCAGTTTATGGCAATTGTCAAAATTGAGACGCAGATCCAAGTAGGAAGCGTAATTGTCACTGGTGTTTTTAATTTCGAGCTCATCAGGATATATGAATTCTACATAATCACTAAATTTAGGATTATTAAGTGATAAAACGTCATCGATAAGTGAAATTAAAAAGTCTGACTGATCGTTTATTAGTTTTTACGAGCGTCTGTATGTAATCGGCTTCGTACGAATAGAGAAACAGATCAGTAATTACCATTACCCATTACATTGAAAGTAATTAATTCCCATTACCCATTACTTTATGAGTATATAAATAAATAAAAAATTCTTAGAAATTAAAAAGACAACCTTATTTTTCTGCAATAAAGCGCCTACAAAATCAAACTCGATAATAATTCTTGATTCACAATAATAGATATATTATTTCTATTTATTATAACATCAAGGCAAATTTTCAAGTGACAGACAGTGGCGACAACTGATGTTTTTACTGTATGACTTGAAAAAAGTGAATTGAATAAATAGTTAATCAACTCTATTTTTTTAAAAGTGATTTTATAAAGTTTTTAATCAATCCAAATAGGGGATCATGTGGCTAAGTGGGTAAGACGCTGGCTCGCTAGCCTGGCGGTCGGGTGTTCGATTCCTGCATTGGCCGAGAAAGTTCATCCAGATTAACCGGCGTGGTTTCCCCTTGTCAGTGATGCAGGACGGAGGGCCTGACAAGGACAGTGATCTAGTCGTTCGGATTGGACGAAAAACCGAGGTCCCGTGTACAAATTGGTGGAATAACAAATGCCCCTGCTAAATACCAGGTTCGAGCTGTACCCAGATAAATTCATGTAATATAATGTTATGATTGTTTGTCGGTGACTTAACCTCTGAATAATCGTGTAAACTCTCATGTATTTTTATTGTCCAATACATGATATTATGGACAGGTTGGTTTAATTAAAGAGTGTATGGCTCTATTATCTTGGACCTTAAAACAGACGAAAATAGATCTGAAAGCACATATTAATGCAAAATGAACGTGTAAAAAGTGATTTATATTCAATTTTTTTAAATTGTAATTTATAATCAATTATGTTCGGGGAAATACATGAACAGTCCAATTTGAACGATAGCTGTTTACACTAGCTTAATCCCTTCTAGACGTTTATTCATAATTATTTTGTCGGTTTTGAATCAGTTATTACTTCTTTACTTCTTCATATGCGTGTAGAATGTGTTTTTCTTTGTACATTATAAATGGTACCCGAAACCATAGAATACACGACTCGTGTACTGTACGTATATAAAATATCCACCACTGTATCTTAATAATGTGTTATATATATATATCTGTCTTTATATATATTGTATGTTATTGTATTATATGAATCTTCTACTCATATTAAATTGATCTTACTATTGTTGAGAGGATTAAAGTAAGATAAAGTGTCGATACTACCCCAAATGTAAACTTTCCACAGCTAAATTTTACTCTCGTTTGTCATCGCCCCCGTCCGTCCGTTCGTCCACCCGCCAGAGGCTAAACTTATTAATCGTTTGCTTCTGGATGCTCTAAGAGGCTAAATTCATTAGACGAAGATTCCTATTGATTATCGAGGGCCTTTTATGACCGAGTTACGTAAATTTGTGCATTACTCTGTATTTAGATTTCAATGGCGTCTGCCAGTCCGTTTAGCAGAAGGGGACGTACTTTTAACAGCATGCTGTGTTGCGCATACTGACGCTAACGAGGTAAGCAAGGTCTCTCACTAAAATGTTTCTTTACATTGTTTAGGCGTTCACAGAGACTGACACACCACCGTTTAGCAGTAAAACGTTTCCCAGTAAAAATTGACTGGGCCCGATTTTAGTTTCGACAAGGATTCAATAGGACGCTTCCTGAATGTACGAGGCGAGTGTAATGAGATCTACGTTCAGAGCTGAACTATCCCAGACCATGACCTACATTCTTAGGCCATCGTACAACAAATGGACCATGTTCTACGTAAATTTAACGTACATATTTTACTGTTTTATTCTGAGAACTCTCAACGATACAAGATAAGGCCGTAAAGCCGCTGTCTGTGAAACAATTCCCTCATAGCATACCGCATGGCCTTGGTCCGTCTTCATTAATCCAGTTGGTGCCGAAGATTACTGGAATTCCGTTTAGAAAAGGCTCCGCGCCCCACCTCACCCCCATAGTTTCAAATAGCTAAATCTCTATTCTTTGGCACCTAGAAATCGACAACAATGGGTCGCAATATATTATGAATGTATATAAACTGGTTTACGTTCAATCGTGTCTGTTTTTATTGTAATTCCTAATCATGTTCTGCGAAATACGCAAAGAGTCCAAATTGAATGGCAGTCTTTGGTGTCTGGTCTGTCCAGTCTACACTGATATTACCCCCCCCCCCCCTTGCACCTATTGAGCTAATGAAGATAGACATACACCATACAGTGTGTTCGACCTAGACGCTGTACTTGAACCACTTACAAGGGACAATCACGATTGAAACGTATTTGATTAACACCGTCATCAAACCATCACACTGACTGTAATAGTGTGTGTGTGTGTGTGTGTGTGTGTGTGTGGGGGGGGGGTCGTGAGTATGTTTATCGGGATAAACTGAATACCGAAATCCCGCTCAGAAAAAGTCAGTCTTTAGCTAAAAATTAATTTCTGAAATGAAATGGGGTCTAACGACCTAACTTGGATAATAAAGACGAGTATACGCCATACAGTATGCTATGAGGGACATTTTGCCCAGACAGCGGTACTACGGCCTACTTTTATATCGAATTCCAACTATTAAGGGATCTTTCGCGTGCACGCCCATGTGTACACGGGACCTCGACTTTTCCTACCATCCGAACGACTAGACAGCTGTCCTTGTCAGGTCGTCCGTCCTGCATCACTGACAAAGGAGAACCACACCGGGAACTCTGTATGAACTTTCTCGCTCAATACAGGGATCGAACATTCGACCTCCAGGCTAGCGAGCCAGCGTTTTACCCACATAGCCACCGTGATCCCCAAATTTATTCCCAAAGGGCCCTATCGGGTTAAAATCGCTCTGTTTCTCCTTAGCATTGAAATTAACTAAGTACGACTTGTGTCTGAACTAGAGCACCATACATTACACACAATAACAAAACATGTCCTAAATGTTGAACCCTGCAAATAAAGGGTCACCACCTCTTAGATTCAATTGGAAAAATTGTGTCGCTGTTCGGGCCAACTATTATCTTAGCGATTGACAGATCATCACACTATTATAGTATCAGTATGCCCGCCTTTATTAGCCCAGTCGGAGCAGAACAGTGGGACGTTAAACCCTATTTCATTTGTTTATTTGTAAAAGATGAAGTTAGTCTCTCCCCTTTAATCAAACTGTAAGTGCCGGGTCAGTGTGATCTGATGTATAATTTGATCAGTGGTGTAACTATAATACTCAGAATAAACCAAGACACGGACTAAAACACACGATGTCTGGTATCTTCACCATGATATTAGATATATTCCAATATTTTAACATAGAATATATAACTGTATTGTTTAAAGATAATGTTGGTGTAAGAACTGGTCTAGTATTTGTGACTTGTCTGGGAATATGGTTGCTGATGAGAAAACCCCAGGGGATTCCACCAGGACCCAGATTTACCCTGCCTATATTAGGGGACATGTATTTGAAAGGAGAAAGTGATTTGAGGATAGTTGCCAGGCAACTAAGAAAAGAGTACGGAGATATATGCAGTGCTTATTTTGGATCGAAGTTGTTTATTTTTCTCAATAGTTATGACGTGATAAAAGAAGCCTTGGTTAAAAATGGAGATATATTTTCACATCGACCATCCTTGTTTTGGTCAGATCTTATTACACAGAGAAAAGGTAAGTGTTTGTGGTGATTAATAGATGTCTATTCCGTACACTTCATAAATAAACCCCTGCTGCTCAGTGAGTAGGATGCATGTCTGTAGGCCTAGAGGTCCCGGTTACAATCTCCGTATTGGAAATGAAAACAAAATGAAATGGGGTTTAACGTCCTACTGTTCTTGGGTTAATGAAGCTTTGAGGGAAATTGTGCCCGGACAGCGGCACTATGACCTACTGTTATATCAAATTCTAACTGTCAAGGGATCTTTTACGTGCACGCCAATGTGTACACGGGATCTCGGTTTTTCATCCCATCCGAACGACTATACGTTGTCCTGTTTCAGACCCTCGGCATTTCACAGCCTGATTGCTTATCATCGGTGGTGCAGGACGACAACGGACCTGGCACGGAAAACACACCCGTGTATGTCATGGATACAGGAAGACAAATTTTCAGCTCGTTTAAGATTCCATGACAGTTTAGCGCCCCTTCAAAACAAACGTATAATACATATGTTGTCATGAACGTTTAGATTACCAGCCAGATTACCCTTTCTAGAACAGCTGATATCACCTAGCCTAGATATATAGTATTGGTAGCTGTTGTACATGATACAGGGTATGCTAGAACATCTGATACCACCTATTCTAGATATATAGTATTGATAGATGTTGTACATGATACATGGTATGCTTACTGTTTCTTGAACACCAGATATCAATTTGTAACAAACGCATATTTATCAAGACCTGTCTTCGTAATGGCTAATAAGATGTCTTAAATAAAAACTGAAGTCCAACGCAGACCAAATAAGTTCACCGGTGTGCGATGGATTTCAACAAGCCCGTTTATTGGCCGAGCAATGTTCAAAGGGCGAACCATTTTATTTGGATATTCAGTCATCATTTCACTAACTACTACTTGGGTCAACAATAAAACATCAACGTCCGGGTTTTTAACCAATGTTGGTTGTTTGCGTTAAAGATTCTTCGTTTGCGGGAGATTTAAAAAAATATAAAAGATTTGCTTTGTTAGTCGCCAACAAATGTCAGTGAACATAATATAAACTATTGTTTTGTTCCACGCGCGGGGGTTGGATGGCTTTGTGGTTAGCACGTGCGCGCTGTATCGTTAAGTCTGTCATTGAGTCAACTGGCGTGGTTTCGAATCCCCGGTTGTACGTGACAAGGAGTAGGGTCGCCTGTCCAACCTCGTGGGTTTTCTCCGGGTCCCCCGGTTTCCTCCCGATGCTAAAGACCCCTACGCGCAAGCGAATTATAGAAATAAAATTGAACCATACGTTAGTCCCAAAATTACCTAGTTTGTGTCGAGTGGACGTTAAACCCCATTTCTCTCTCTCTCTCTTTTATTCCACGCGCTTCGGTCTTGATTAGGTCTACCCAGTTCACCTCGCGTTATTCTGGTGTTTTTTTTCACCAAATGAAACATGACGTAGATCAATAATATGCATTCTATTACAGGTGTAGTTATGTCAGAGGGACAGCCCCGCCCCTTCCCCCCCCCCCCCTTTGCGCCATATGAAACATGGCGTGAATCAATAATATTCATTCTTTTACAGGAATAGTGATGTCAGAGGGCCAGCCGTGGAAAGAACAACGAAAGTTTGCTCTGGAAACTTTGAGAGAGTTTGGTTTTGGCTTGAAGACAAAATTCATGAAGAAACTCGCCACTTTGTAGAAGTTATCGGAAACGAAAATGGCGGAAAATTCGACATGTTCCGTTTAAGTCAAAAGGGTGTTTCCAATATTATATCGTCTATGGTTTATGGTAAACGATTCGAGTATGATGATCCGGTATTTAATATTTTTCTGGATAAAACTGAAAGCTTGCTTCTAACAATAACACATGGGTCTGTTTTGAGTATGTTTCCCTTTCTGCGATATTTACCGGGTGATTTGTTCAAATATCACAGTGTTTTGAACAGTCTGGATTTCATTAAAGACAACATCATCATTCCATCAATCAACGAACACATGAAGAATTTTGATGAAAATCACGTGGATGATTACATCAGTAGTTATATCAGAGAAATGAAGAAAGTGTCTAAAACTGGACAGCCATCTTATCTAAACGGTTAGCATTGTTTTATTTTAAATGAAAGGTTTGATGGGGACATCCGAGGTCAACTCAAATATAGGGCCTAGTAGCAAAGTTAACAGCAATGATTAATTCAATTTCACGCTTTGCTCTTCGACTGGATGCTCCCCTTCCCCCGCCATCCCCCTGAAATAAATTTCTCTGCATTCCTCCTCGTGTGTTGTATCTTGGCAAATACGGTGTCAGCGTCTCTCTCTCCCTCTCTCTCTCTCTCTCTCTCTCTCTTTCCTCCGCGCCAATAATTTATCTTTCAAATGTGGTAAGTCACGGCTTCTTGCAATATTGTGAAATGTTTCAGAGCCCCAACTGGTGTCCGCTATACTGGACCTGTTTATTGCTGGCACGGAAACGACATCAACAACCATTTTGTGGACGATTCTTTATTTTCTACATCATCCAAACATACAAGATAAATGTTACAAGGAGATTCAAGATGTCGTTGGTTCCGGTCGTCTACCGTCAATAAAAGATAAACCGTCCTTGCCGTATGTTGAAGCCGTCATATTGGAAGTTCTCCGTAAAGCAAACATTTTAATGACCGGAATCCCGCATGCTGTCAGTGAAGACACGAGGTTCCATGGATACCATTTTCCAAAAGACGCCATCATCATACCTAACGCCGATGCTGTTTTAACCGATGACAAGATTTGGGGCGATGCTGATGTATTTAGACCGGAAAGATTCATCGATTCTAATGGAAAGGTCATAAAAAAAGATGAATTGATTCCCTTTTCGACAGGTAAATTACAAATTAGTCTTTATAAAACGTACCGGCTGGTATTTCTATAAAACGTATCGGCTGGTAAACAACTCGGTGAAGATTTTATAAAACGTAACGGCCGGTAAACAACTCCGGCTCAGTCTTTATAACACGTAACGGCCGGTAAACAACTCCGGCTTAGTTTTTATAAAACGTAACGGCTGGTAAACAATTGCGGCTTAGTTGTTATAAAACATAGCGGCTGGTAAACAACCGCGGCTTAGTTTTATAAAACGTAACGGCTGGTAAACAATTGCGGCTTAGTTGTTATAAAACATAGCGGCTGGTAAACAACCGCGGCTTAGTTTTATAAAACTTAACGGCTGGTAAACAATTGCGGCTTAGTTGTTATAAAACGTAGCGGCTGGTAAACAACTGCGGCTTAGTGTTTATAAAACGTAACGGCTGCTAAACATTATAAAACGTATCGGTTATATTCAGTTTGTTGAAACATCCGTCTCTTTGATCTGAAGTCTTCCTTAAAACTTTGGACACTTGATTAAATGTATTAATGAATTGTGATAGCCTCGATTATCACACAATGCTCTGGTTTTATGTGAATAATTATATTTTGTCTTTCAGGTAGAAGAATATGTCTGGGAGAATCATTGGCTAAAATGGAATTATTTTTATTTGTGACAACCTTGGTACAAAGATTTGAATTTAAACCGGTCGATGCTGATAATTTACCAACATTACAAGGTGTTATTGGAATAACTCATGCCCCTGCTAGATACCAGGTTCGAGCCGTACCCAGATAAAAACACAGTTCCCTCCCCTATTTCATTAACAACGAACTGTTACTTCGCATAAAGTTGTTTTTAGTGAACTTAATGGTCTCAAATCTAAAGACGTATTACTGCTTTTTGTGAAATTGAGCTTTAAGGAATGTGTGTGCTTACCGATAATTTAGTCCGATAATTTTTTTTTGTATAAACATATTTTATTCAAACAACATGAATAGGATTGGGTAACAGGCAGAGCCTATGTGAAAACCCTCTCCCTGTATACAGTATAATTTACAATAATAAAGTATTTACACATATACAAGGTATTTACAAGGTGCTTACCGATAATTTAGTCCGATTGTACCCAATTATTTCTAGTTCAGTTTAAGTCCGAGAATCCGGAGGTTTTTGTTTATGAAAATTGTGCATAGATGAAGTCCGGATTCTCAAACTAGGTGGGGTAAGAAGAAATTTAATGAAAGAGCGTTACTGAATGAGGTAATAGAGCCTGTTTCCTATTCTATGTTAGAAAGAAGTTAAATAAAATCTGTACTGTTCAAATGTTGTCACGGTATTAAGATAGAAGTACATTTTTCTTTTTTTTAAAAGTGTCTTCCAAGTTTCTGATCGGTGATATTAAAATACGCCCTCATAAGTAAACGTAGGAGTGTAATCGATATATTCACTTGGGGACAAGTTGACTCAGATTAAAGCACAGATCATATTTCCTTCAAACTTTTGTTTTACTTTTGTTTTACTACAAAGGATCTGTATGAGTTGTTGAATATCTCACGTTCTGTCTGATGTGAAGGATTGGCCAATCAAATAGTCAGATAGGTAGACATATATAGAACAAAACAAAGTAAAAGTCTTATTTCTGAACAGGTAATTGTCCTATATTATAGTCAGTTGCATCTAGTTCTTATCACGTGACGCGATATGAGTAGACATATTGTCAGTTGCATCCAGTTCTTATCACGTGACGCGATATGGGTAGACATATAGAAACAAAACAAACCCAAGGTTGTATATCCGAATAGCTAATTCAAACACAAGAGTCGATTGGTTATTTGAGTGACTGTCGTCATAGGATCAAAAGTCACTCCCATGACACTTGACGAACAACCTCCATGATCGCCATGTGGTCGAAGCCATCCAAAGTACAAAAAACGAAACGAAATATAGATTTGTATTTTAATCAGATTGGGGCAAGGTTATATATTAAACACTGGGACATTTCTACATGAGAAAATAAAATAAATTTTATGGACAGAAATTGATTAGTAAGTTCATTGATAAATCGTGAAAACTGAACTAGTACGGTTTCATTCACTATGTCCTTCCTGTCCTGTTCGACTGACAGGAGGAATCATAAACAGCCTGGCTAGCTAACATATAATATCCCAACTCGATTTGTTGTTTTGAAATGATGTATTTTAATACAGTTTGACTGTTTAGTTTAATTTTGTATCAGTCATTAAAAAAAGTCATTAAAACCGCGTAGATTGGACTAAGCAGGAGCAAACGACTGTCGTTAAATTTGAACTGTCGGGAGATTGATCCCTGCATTGGCCGAGAAAGTTCGTCCAGATTTTCCGGCGTGGTTTCCGCTTGTCAGTGATGCAGGATGGAGGACCTGGCAAGGACAGCTATCTAGTCGTTCCGATGGGACGAAAAAGCGAGGTCCCATGTACACAACGTCGTGTACACATCAGATCCATTGGCAGTAGCACCGCTGCCCGGACAAAATTGCTCTCATAGCACACTGTATGGCGTATGCCCGTCTTCATTAGCCTATTTCGGATCAGAACAGGAGGACGTTAAACCCTATTTCATTTCATTTAACGTACGAAAGAATAGAGTTGCTGAAAATACGTATTTGAGAGAATGTTTTGGAGAATAAAACTGCTTAATTTTGTGTTTAGGACGTTAAAACCATTTCATTTCATTTCATTTAATTTTGTGTTAAAAGGGATTTTAAGGGATTTTAACACAAAATTAAGCAGTTTTATTCTCCAAAACATTATCGGTATTGACGCTTTAAAACACTGTATTATCAGATATTAACGTATCTTTTAATATGCATAAACAGAATGTGAACTGTAAACATGTTGATACGCTATACATCCTGTTGGTGAATACAATAGAAGATAATTTAGACACGCTGTACAGGGATTTCTCCGGGTCCTCCAGTTTCCTCCCACTGCTAAAGACCCCTACGCGCAAGCGAATTATTGAAATAAAATTGAACCATGTTAGTCCCGAAATGACCTAGTTTGTGTCGAGTGGACGTTAAACCCCATTTCTCTCTCTGCACTGTCGTATGTTAATTGTATATCGTCCGTTCTTTAAGTGTTTCTTCTATGTATGTATGTATATATATAAATATTATTACCAATCCTTTCACTTATTTTGCCAATAACTTTGTAAAATTTTTATTTTTCATATATAACATGTAATTATCTGCGATATCACTTCGGTGGAAGCGGACGTTAAATAAAGCTATTTCACACACGCACACACAGTGTATCGGTAATGTATATTCGTTAAAAGATGGGAGATGACCATCGTCTAATTAGAATTGTTTTAAAACCGGAAGTTTTATTAATACACGTATATTCTATTTCCAATTAAAGACAGTTTGTTTTTTTTAAACTGAGTCAGATATCTTTTTAACATATCAGTACATATTTTATTTAGTACATGTACAAAGAGAGCGGGAAAGAGGGAATGGGATTTAACAACCACACAACACAGACTAATATGTTGACAAAAAAAAATAGACAAATAGATTGGTTTAATTAAACTTGATGAGATATCGAACAAACATATTTTATATCCATTACATGTACGTGTGGTTTATGATAGTGAAGTCTATGAGTAATATATTGTATATCAAAAACTCGACCAAATAACCGTCGTCTTTAGCCTTTAGTATTGTTTGTGAGTGAGGGCTATGAGTAATAAAGTGTATATCAAAAACTAGACCAAATAACCGTCGTCTTTAGCCTTTATATTATTCTTTAGTCTTTATAATATTCTTTGTGATACACAAATAACTGTTTGTTTCCTCTTACTCATGGCCGCCTGATTATACATTTATAAATTGATCAGATTTAAAGACAAGTTGATCAAGATGTCGGTAATTTTACTGGTTTTCATATCTTCTCTTCTAGTAACAGGTGGGTACTGTAGCATTTTATATTCTTTTGGTTAGAATATTAGCTTTGTTCTGGTCAGGTATTGTCCAGGGTGTTTAAAACTTCCTGTAGCTGTTGTAATGGTAGGTATATCGCTACCTTACTATTAACATATCGTCGTTGTATTTATTATGAATGTGGTATGTGTCTGTGTAGAAAGCCTTCCCATCCTCTACCATATATTCCAGGATGAGGATAACCCATTGTTTATGTCTTGGTATTTGTGCTGTTATACGTTTTGTTTGTGACATTACCGTGTTGAAATATAAAACACTCGGTAGTAATTGTAGAACTGGAACACCTTACGGCGATGAAAATGAAATAAAATGGTGTTTAACGTCATGCTTTTCAGCTCCGACTGTGCTAATGGAGACGGGCATACGCGATGAGGGAAATGTTGCACCTACTCTTATATAGAATTCCAACTGCCGAGGGATCTTTAACGTATACGCTAGTGTGTACATGGGACCTCGGTTTCTCGTCATATCCCAACGACTATATGCTGTCCCTTGCCAAGTCGTCGGTCTTGCACCAGTGACAAGGAAGGGCCGCACTGAAAAATCCTGATGAACTTTCTCGGATCAAACACGCGACCTCCAGGTTAGCGAGCCAACGTCTTACCAACTGAGCCATCGTGGTTCCCATACGTTTACGAAGCTACACCTGTGAGTGTCATTTCTTTGTTTTAATCTTACCATAAATTTCATCCCAAATGATTTAGTAACTAATAATATCGTTCCGTGTAATTTATTGGCAACTGTTTTGCATTTCAATGTGGTTTGAGCGTTGCTGCGTGTGGCGGGGTATTTTTGCTATGAACAAGTTAGATCCCGCCATTGTTTACAACATGCGTTGATATTTGTCTTGTGTGTCATATTTTTGTATTTGAAACTTCATAGTGTTTTTATCACTTTGTCCATTAAAGTAGCTTCGTTCAGGGGCGGGTTCAGGGGCGGATTCGGGGGGGGGGGTGTAAAACAAAACAACACCTAATCAGAAAAGTGTGACGGTCAAACGTCCATTATCCTTTATAATCAGATGGTGGGATGGGATGGGCATTCAAAGCGCGACATAATGATATAGACATATGTTTTATCACAATTTAATTGAATCACAATGTGATGGTATTAATCTATAATAAAAAAATACATTCAAAAGGGGTTTTGGATTTCTCTCTGTTATCATGCATTGTCAACTGTCAAATTTCCTTAACAATGGATGTCCTATATGAGAGAGCCCCCCCCCCCACCCAAACCAACAACATTGTCTCGGGAACTTGTCACCCCCCAACCCCACCTCCTCCTTCAAACATTATAGAACGTATTATCATCAACAAAACTATTCGGTAACTATTTGAGTGGTCCACTCTTCACTATTTGTAATAGAATTACTTATTTCAATACAAATTTTGATGATATTGTGCGTTTGAAGCTATTTTTACTTGTGCAAAGCCTTGAAGCGTGTAACAATTGTAACGACAGACAAGATAAGATGCCGCTACAGCATTGCGGCTTACCAATAAGTACACGGGATATCGTTTTTTTTCGTCCCATCCGAATGACTATACACTGTTCCGTGTCATCTCACCCCGCCCCCAGCCGACTTGCTCCACTGACATGTGTAAACCACGCCAGAAAATCTCCAGGTACGTTCTCGGGCAACACCCGGAGCGAATCCGGAACCAGAAGTTACTTACAGGTGAACAGCGAGGTTATTCACATCATTAATTATAATTGTTATTTGATATTGGCTATTTTCAATTCAAATAAATCCATCTTACTTTTATAATTTTATCTGGTTTCAGTTCAAGGTAACTGTGATAGTGTTATAAATATCTATGGCTGTGCCAAACAACAAAATGTTACATTAACAGTTGGTCTACCAGACAGTAGTACTTTGATAAAAGTAACTCATAATTTCCATTCATTATTTATGGGCGAGAAAGGGTCGATTAATTTACTCTCTCCCAATAGTAAACACTATGAAATTATAAACCAGACGGAACAACAGTTTATGTTTAAAATAGTAAATGTGACTAAACATGATGCTGGTATTTACGAGTGGTATTCTGTATGGTATGGTATGTTCAGATGTGTAGCACTTTTTATATCAGGTAATCATCATCATCACCATTGGTTCTAGATTTCAGTGGAAAAATACCGACTATGAATATACTGGTATACCTTTAAATAATTACAACTTGTAGGTATAAATAAAACAAAACCAAGTACGAACAATCCAAACCATTAGACAAAATTCGAAGTCCTAAAAAAACGGTATAGTCAAAATAGTGTAATAAGGCAAACTAGTGTAATCAGCATATGGACTGTTCACCGTGTACAAAATACACGACAAACAGTGGTAACAGGTGTCCGGAAGAGTAAGTTTACCCTGCCTGGCGCCACACCCGCCATAGCTGCATCCAAACTATTAGGCGAAATGTCGGTAAAATAGCGTGAGTGGCCAATGGACTATCGGTATGCAAAATGCACGTGATGAACAGTGTTAACGATGTAGTAGACAGACATTATCAGGGAGATAGTATACGCGTCAATTAAATATATCTAGAATAATAGCCGAGAGAGACATGTTATATTTACCAATCAAGTCAATATGAAGGCCATAAAATTTTTTAAAGGTTTTAATAAGTTTAGTTCGCAAGTATCCCTGTAGTTGAAGCTTAGATGACAAATGCCTCGATCTACTTAAAAAATCAGAATAAAATGAACAAGCTCTCGCGTAACGAAATAGTTGAGATACAAACACTCCATAAGCTGGTGATATTGGAATGTTACTACTAATAAATGGAAAGTTAACAATCGGAAAGTCAAAGTCATCACGTTTATCGCACAATTTAACACTAAGTTTATGCCAATAGTGTTTTTAATTTCGAGCTCATCAGAATATATGAATTCTACATAATCACTAAATTTTGGATTATTCAGTGATAGAACATCATCGATATATCGATAAGTGAAATTAAAATGTCTGACTAATCGTTTATTTGATTTTACGAGTGCCTGTATGTAATCGGCTTCGTAGGAATAGAGAATCAAATCAGCAAGCAAATTAAAAATTTCAACATCTGAATTATCTTGTTGGCGGTGAATTTATTTTTGGAATCACTATGGTTCGTAACAAAATATGTGGAATTGTAATTAACAACTAAATATTGATATCTAACATTTCCCGATTTAGATGAAAAGACACTGTGAATTATGTTTTTTAACCGAGCTTTTAATTTACTATGGGGAATTTTAGTGTACAAAGTAGAAAAGTCAAACGTTTGTATAGATGAGATTGAAGCAAGTGATCTAGAATGTAAACCATCAAGTAATTCTTTGGAATATTTTAATATCCACATTTGATTAAAACCACTACGGGAGTATATGTTGTCACAGTATTTTTGAATACCCTCTTTCACTGCCGTTAGTATAGATGTCAATACTTTTGAAATTGGTTTTGTGGAACAACGGGATGAACCTGCTATAAAACGTTGCTTGTAGGGATTTTTATGTAGTTTAGGTATCCAATATAACAAGGGCAGATCTGTATAGGTATCTCCACATGGAGTACCAAATGAAGTGAGTACAGATCTGTGATTGGATATAATTTCATCCTTACTAAGCGTAAAGCGTTTATACGTAGCACTGTCGATTGATTTCCCGAAATTAAGTTCTTTGAACAGACAGTCATAATAATATCGTTTACATATAAACACTAAGTTAT